CATCACAACATGACCGGGACACCATCAAAACATGACCGGGACACCATCAAAACAGGACCGGGACACCATCACAACATGACTGGGTCACAATCAAAACATGATCGGGACACCATCAAAACATGACCGGGACACCAGCATCACATGACCCGGACGCCATCAAAACATGACCGGGACACCATCCGCCCACCAGCTCTGACGGTGACCCGACGGCGCCCGTCCGCCTATTAGTTTTGCAAGACCCCATAGCATGGCTATTGGGGAATTACAGGTGGATGGGTGAAAGGTTACTGTTTACAGGAATCACCGCCAATGACTGGGGCGCCACACCATTACACCGAGCCGTGGCCCGCGGCCAATTGGACGGGCTCTGAGCATAGATTGGCAACGCAAGTGAACCAAACCGATTAACATGTTGGGTAATGCTATTCAGGCGGTTGTAGAGGCGTTGCTTGTGAATGGCGCAGATGCCAATGCAGAGGACCGAGACTTGTCATGGTTTGTTCCATTTCCCCACAGGGATGTGAATTGCAAGTCTGTATTGCCATATCATGTGGTGTCCTGCAAGACAAGCTTCATTGCTTGGCAATGTTTCAATGGGTGAAAAAAGTGAAATCGCGCCAAAGCCGGTGGCGGAAGATTGCTTTGAGTGGAACCTTTCGGGGTGGCTGAGGAATATGAAACATGAATTCCGCTGTGTTTTTGCACCAGGGTATGAAAGGCTCGGAGTCAGCTGTGCAAATATTTCTCGTGGAACCGCTACATTTGGGCTTACAGGGCCCTTGAGTCATACAGTGGAAAAGATCGCCCGCTGACCACCATACAGAACCAGATTCATACTGGTAAAGGAGCTCAAGAACTGAGACTCCGGTGTTCTGGCAGGTTGACACCCCAGATCCTCAGCGGTCCACTTGACCTTCGGCATTCCTTCATGGTGAAGGGCTTCTAGAAGAAGTTCAGGATCCTGATACGCACTTCACCCGCAGAAGATTGAAGAGAACTTCTCCCAGACGAAGAAGATGAAGCGTTGGATAACGATAGGCTGCCCATTTTTCCCTCGACGGAAGCACCGCCAAGGAAGAAAGTAAAATCGTCGACGTCGCGAAAGGAGACAGGGGCAGGGTGTGGGGGGAGAGCCAATGCGGTGGTTTTCATCATAGCCTGGTGGGGCTAATGCTTTTTGCAGGGGCCAGCTTTCGGTCGCTGCATCATTTGCGTCACCAAGTTGCATAGGGCTACTTCCAAGATCGTCAACAAGGCCAATATTGACATGCTGCTTTCATTTTGCTTCCACTTGACAGAGAGAGCCCTGGGTTCTTGGAAGAGGCCATGTAGACTGATGTCTGAGTAGGCTAACAAAATCTCTCCAGAAGCGTTTCCCATTGACCTGCGAGAGCCACCGTAGTCCGTTGGCTCCGGTCACTTCAAAAAAAACATTGCTGAACCAGTGGGCGTGGCCCCTCCGCTCTATCAGGTGAAGGGGAACGGAAACTCTTGGGTTGTGTTAGCCTATTCAGAAACCACGCGCGAAATATCAATATTGTTATAGGCGTATATTGTACACGAGGAGCAGAAAAATGTAGCTGCAACTCTCATCTCGCCTTGCTTGTCATTCACTCGTTTTGGCCTGTATTATGCGGTTCTGTTGCTGCTTGATTGTGTAGGCTGCCACAAGCTCTTCAGACCATTGAACCGATGAATGCCTGGAAAGGGCAAGATTTCGGCCGCCCTTCTCAGGTTTTCGAAAAGCTTTTCTTATTTGAGGAGCAGCAGCGTGGTAGGAGTCGTGTTGTTTTCCGCTTGTCTTCCAGAGGTGAAGAGCGAACTTATCAACTTTGACATTGACTCGACGGAGGCCAAGTGCTTCAGATTTTGTGGAAGACAGTTCAACCAAGATGAAAACGGCGCAACCGTCGTTGTTGTTCACAACGCCCGTGGGCTTCGACCCATTGTTCTTGACCTGTTCTCGCCCATGCGCCGGCAAGCGGAAGTCTTCTGAGACGGCGGAACTTTGTCCAGTCCTTGACTCATTGTCTTGGATCGCGCGGAGGGGGGCCGCAAGGCGTCCAGACTGCGGGTTCGCGACGCAAGGCAGACCTTTCACATTGCCAAAGCCCGAGCGGATGAGATTTGCTTACGTTTTAGGACCCACATTGTCAACTGAAGACAAAAGAATGCACCACCTTCACCGTCTATCCTACCCCGTTTCTTTCAGCGTAATTCAGCGAGCGCGCCGGGCAATACCCAGGCGGAGACGGAGGCAGACCCATTGCAAGCTTCAGTGGAACAAGGGGATCGACTTCGAGCACTTTCTTGTGGACATGAAAGGGCCCCAACAGATTTCAAAACTGGGAAGGGAACAGCAGGAAGCGCCCGCTGCAACTGCCTTCAGGAATCACGGGCTGAAGGCTGGACATTGAGGCGCAGGCAATCCGCCAGTCAGTGAGAACACATAACATAACGGCCAGGAAACCGTAGAGCCCGGATCACTGCTCCGTGCTCTGCGGATGCGGATGACTGAGTGCTGCGAGCAGCTGGAGAGGTCAGGGCAACTCAAAGCAAAAAGAGGGACGGAACACTGCGTCGGACATGTTGAGCTATGAAATTCAGGGGGGCGTTTCGCAAATAAGAATAGGATGAGTGCGAGTTCCATTGTGTTTTACACCAGGGCATGAAATGCCAGGAGTCAGCTGTACAAAAATAGATTTTCCTTGAGCCGCTAGCACACGCGACCAGCTTCATGCCAAATGTCAAGAGCCAACATGGTTGTTCGCTTGATGACTTGTTACTTAGTGTTACGCGTGCTACTTACATACACAGCAGGGCTGCTTCTTGGATTGCCGTTGCTTTCACAACAGGATGGGCGTGGCGAAAGGCCCCTGCATTTGGCTGCAGCACTTGGTGACTATGCTGTGACCTCGCTGCAATTGAACGCTTGCGCTGTCACCTCAGGGGCGCGTACCAATTTTTCAGGTCGTAAAGCTCCTGTTGCAATACAGTGGCCAAGCCGGGGCACGCAACCGCCAGTTTCTTACATTCTTGGATTCTTTGGCTTGCTCCTGCGCGATTCCAATGTCCGAGGTTTGGGAAAATTGCCGGAACACTGCGCACGAGATCGTGGTCACACGGACGTCGCACCGTTCCTGCAGAGAGTTTGTTGAATTTATAGAGTTGTTGTGCGCTAGCCAAAATGATGTTTAGGGCGGCAGTGAGCTGAGCAGGCAACCAAAATTCGCTGCATGGCATGTTTTTCATGTCTGCTTAGCCTTTCCCGGTCTCCAAGGTAACGTTGTTGGAGCACCGAGAGGATTCTTGCCAATGTGTTTGAAGATTTGCATCAAAAATGATAGAATGTCGCAGATGCAGCTAGTAAGTTTGCTGACTTCCTGGCCAAGGAGTGGGTTGCGCCCGCTTTAGCGTCCACTGCGTGACAAAGTCAGCGGTTGAATTATCCAGACATGGCTGCTCAGAAGTGAGCGCCAGAGGCTCACGGTTTCACCAACAAAATGCCCAATCGCGACGGGCAAAATCCAAAAGTTCAAGGGCCGAAGGGCCTCAATTTTCTCCTTGTTCCTTGCTTTGGCAATGGACGTATTTATATATATATATTTTTTTATTTTTTTTGAGAGTGGTTTTGCTGCTGTTTGGGGTGGGAGAGACCCTGGCCCTACCCACCCACCCCCAGTTTTATTTTCCTTCAACAAGGAACCAAATCATGGGGCAACTCAGTCGGAAGCACGCCATCTCAATTCTCACGTTTTAGATTTGATTTCATTGTCTTTCTTGGACTCATGTGTCAAAGTAGTTGGTCGTTGAGCTCAACCATAGCTTGTACGCTTCCCCAACCTCTTTCATGAGAGTGGACCACCACTTTGACGCTTTCGCACCCACGTCGTTAATGAGAGAGGTGATTTCTGCAATCCAGTCACCACACTTCAATGCAGCTTGCGGCGCGCTTTACTCAGGCAGTTTGGGGTGGAACCTCCGCCAGCCGACCCTTCTGCGCAATGCTTCTGATGTTGGAGCTCTTGACTGTTTCTTCGCTCTTGAGTTGGAGCTTCTGATGTTGGCGGTTCTTCATCTCCTGCTGGTCCCGCACCAGCCATTGCAGTCTGACTTGTTGAAAATGATCTCCTCCTAATGGTTCACCGCGACGAACCCTCGAAGTTTCCCTTTCTGAGATCATCTCCCAGCAGCTGTCTTCTTGTTGTCCGCTTCGCCCACCTGTTATCCTTTTCTTGTCTCCCTTCTAGCTTAGCTTGGCGTGGCTGCTAGCCCGTCCCTCGTTGTCCTTTCGTTGTACTCTTTTTGTCCTCTCCTTATCCTCCTGTTGTCCGTTTTGTGAAAAAAGACAACAGGAGGATAACGACAATACCGGACACAGCCCCAAGCCCCATTTTACCGATCTACTTTCTGAGATTCGTTCAGTCGGGTTAGATTTACATTTGGGAAGGAATTTCCTGCGGCTGTCCTCGCTGCTGCTCCCGCCCGTTTACACGACACTGGCGCGCTCAAGTGTCTCCAAAGTGCAGCCGTGCTGTGGTTGCAACTCACGCTGCCTGCCACGCTTTACATTTACTGTTCTAGGAGGCAAACATTCGAGGTGGCAACAACTGCCTAATTTAGGATTTAGGGTTTTAGGGTTTAGGGTTTAGGATTCGCCAACACAGGTTGGCGCCCTAGCCAAGTCTTTGCTTTAAAGTCTTTTAAAATAGGCCTTGCCCTAAGCTTTTACTTGCCCTAAGCTTTTACATGCCCTACGCTTTTACTTGCGTAGGTGGCTTTGCCTTTCTTGCTTTAAGGCTCTTTAAAGTAGGCCCTGCCCTAAGCATTTACTTGCCCTAAGCTTTTACATGCCCTAAGCTTTTACTTGGCCTATGCCTTGGCTTCCTTGTTGCGAATTAGTAGCTTTGCCCCAGGCCGCCTTGAGCCTAGCCTGCCCTAAGCTTTTGTGCCACTTGCACGCCGCCGAAATATTTTTCGATCTGGACCGGAATATTTGAATATTTGGGCGCATGTATTCGGGTCTGGGCGCTTGAGCGTGAGGATCGGGATTCGGGCGCTTAACAGCTCAATGGTTTATGGGATGTGGCCCGGAATATTGAAAAATTTGGCTGCGTGTGTCTAGGCCTGGGTTCCTGGACGCAGGGATCCGGATCTGGGCGTTTGAAAGCAAAAGGGTTTACAGGACCTGGCCCGGAATATTTGGATATTTGGCTGCATTTATCCGTGTCTGAGTTTTTGGCGCGGGCTTGCTGCGAGCTTTGTTTGTCCTTTATAACCTGAGGCTTGCCTTGGGCGGTTGCTCGCTCAAAGCTTTTGCGCTTTTCCATCGATTGTGTCTTCCGAGCTGGGCTTCGCTAGCCCATTTACTAGCTCGTTTTTTCCTTTGCAAAAGACCTTCCTCCGGGCTTTGGCTTGCGCTTACTCCCGCGTCCTAAGGTTTTGCTTGCCACCTTACGCTTGCCCTGAGCTCTTGCTTGCTCTATTTGCTTGCGCTGGCACGGCCTCTTCCAGAACCTGATGAACAAGCAATTGAAAACGTGTTGCAACAGCGTGGAACCCGCAAACGTTTTTATTGGAGTGAACATTCATCGCGCCGGTTTCTCCATTTCATTTTCCGTGGCCAATTCACTGGCAACTTTGGCCGCAGCTCATTGGCGCGACGAAGAGCCCTGCGATTGACTGTCGCCGATCTGCGCATGTATTTAATCTACCCGGCACTTGAAGCAATAGCGCTTGCGATTGCCAGGCGGCTGCCGCTCGCACCATTTCTCACCGCATTTACGGCAAGTGTGCTCCTCTGCTTTTCGAGGGGCGCGCTTGGTGCAATTCAAGCAAACTTGCCGCTGCTTTGCGCGGTTCGCCTTCGCACGGTCGACAAAAAAGGAACCGGCAACTGCGGCACGTGAACCACCCATCCATCCACATCTTCGCCCTTCCCGCCACCTTCAATTGGCATTGCTTGCAAACAATGTGGCCCTGCGGCATGGTGGCCATTACTGGCTCAAAGTCCCCCACGTCTTTCACAGAATTGCACTTGCTGCACGATAACATTTCGAGATGTTGCAGGCACTTCAAGCATCGTCGCTTGTGATCCCGAAGGTCCTGCCAGGGCAAAGAAACGTGAGATTTTCAAGCTTTGGCCCCAACCCACACACACACACACACTGGTGAGTACACAGCAAAAACATTGTTTCGACCCCGCGCCTCATTGGCGTCGTCGTCCAGGTCAGCCAGCTGTGCGCGAGGGAAGGCATCCTCGATCTTGCGGCGCTTGCAAGCGTGACAATCAAATTGTTGCTTGCGCCCGCCCGCCC